GTGGAATTCTGAGATTGGATCTCCCCCTGCAAGGATAGCCTTTTCTCTTTGCCCACAGAGGGGGCATTCTGTAATAAATAATCCTGTATTGTAGGATTGCAGTGCTAATAGGTTTAATTCGTTATTGATGATAGGTGTTCATTTATTCATTACTTCCATTTTTGCCCCAACCTTTCAACCCCAAGAGTACTCAAGGCAGCTAATAGACAAAAACCAAAAATCAAATGTAACTATTTGAATATAAAAATAGTTTTTAAATCAGTAGCTAAACCCATCAGTTTAAGTTGAAGGGTGAAATCGCCACAGTGTGATTTACAAAATAAAAAGTTTAAAGCAATAAAATATGCTACAAATGAAAAGTAGCAAAAATTGATAAAGTGCCATAAAAAATATTAAAATGTATAAAATGGGAGGGGGGCATCCAGTCATCTAAAAAATGGCTGAAACACCAGGGATTTGAAGGGCCTATTTTTTAAAATGCTTATAAATAACTCTCTCAGGCTCCTTACAGCTAAATACAATCAGAAAAACAAGATTAACAGACAGTTTCATTTATTGGGTTTAATATAAAAAAAAGTAAGGGCTAGGATACAGAATCTTGGAAACTGAATAAGCAAAATGCCGATCCTTATTTATCAATGAATTTATTAACATGGTGTATCTGAATTCTTTGAACCACTTTTTCCCACAGTACAAAACTGAAGGAATAACTGCCTTTTTCCCTAGGTTATGGTCAAAAAAGTCAAGTTGATGGCCATGACAGTATAATCAAAGCTTTGTCTGTTTTTAATATGTGATGCAGATTTTGACTTTTTTGACCATTTCCTGCAAACACCCCTGCATTGCAACAACCATCTGCTCTTTATTCGTGATTTTGAAATACTCCATTTTCTTTCCCAGCCTCAATGATTTCTCTTACAAATCCTTATATCAATAAGTCTTATTTTATTTTTTTCCCCATAAAATTAATTTTATTTATTTATGCATTCATTTACAGTGGGTGCCGTGGCTGAAAGATTGGCAAATCAGTTTGGAATTTATAAGCCTGTTACAAACCTTTTCTTTCAGTACATAGAGCAAGGAAGAGTGAATGATGCTGAGCTTCTTCTACAGGTAAGAATATACCTGGGCACTAAACTCTTTAAAAGTAAATAAAATTTATTTAAGTGTAGAGAAGTTTGAAGGCATGTGTGTACATATTAGAAAGATTCCATGGACAAGATATACTAAAGGCTTTATCATACATTGTATCCAGACATTACTATAATTTTTATAGTAATTTAATCACTGTATAGGTAGTCCTCACTTAATGACCATTTGTTTAACGATGGTTCAAAGTTACGACAGCTTTGGAAAGGGTGCTTTATGGTCTGTAAAGCACTTCTGGCTGTCGTAAAATGTTGCCCACCCCTGCCCCCATGGTTGCATTGCCGCATTTTGGGTGCTTGGTAACCGGCTTGCATTTACGACCAGTTGCCAAGTGCCCCACGATCATGTGATTACCATTTGCAATCTTCTCTGCTGGCTTCCCCATTGGAAGCTTCCAGGGAAGGTTGCAAGTGGAGGGGATGCGGCAGTGTGCAGGAATGGACACTCCTCCAGCCCCACTAAGGATTTCTCCTCCCTTTGCAGTGTTTCCCCTCTCCTCTCAGCAGCGGGAA